TTACAGTACATGCATTCGTAAATTTAAATTACTTTTTTCTGTACTATATTAAAAACTAAAATTTATTTGTTTGTAAGCTTAAAATAGATCCTTATTAACCATATATTATTAAAAATGCATTAATAAATAAAATACAGAACTGGAAATGGTAATTTATGGTTTAGCCTAGTGACAAGTAGATTCGGAGACAAGTAAATTCGACTTATGTCGCCTCTCCTGGAACCAATTACCGATGTAAGGCGAGGTATACCTGTAATAGAAATGAAGAGAAAAGAATTTGTAAAACTAATACCCCCTGTAATAGGCTATAGCCTTATATGCAAATAAAATTTTGATTGATTGATTGATATTCTATGCTATAATTTGAAATTATTGCAATAGATATATTAAAATTGATAAATTTTACAAATATATTAATATAAAAATCACAAAAATAACCAATTTGCAGCATTAAATAGCAAGTTAATTTAATAAAAATAAAAGTATTTTTACCTAAATAGATAGGCTATGTCAATTAATTGTAGAGAAAATGAAGATATTCCAAAATAATGTAAATTTTAACTTAAATAATTCAGTTATATTTATTATAATTTATCAATTAATTGAACAGATATCTATTTAAGAGAGAGTATTTTTGATTTTTATAAAAATTTACTAGTTAGTTAACATTGCAAATTTGTTGTACTGTACAAATAGGCAGTAAACAAGAGACTCATCATATATTTGAATGTACAGCTGTCCCTTGATAATCCGACAGATATGGTACCAAAGAGGTGTCGGATTACCAAAAATGATTACATATTTGGCATTGTTTTGCTAGCAGTAGCCTACAATATTCCCTACTCCAACTCACAGAAAACAGATGAAATGTGTGTCATTGTGTAAGAATTGGATGGGGAGATTCACATCGCAACATGCTTATGTGCAAGCAGACACATAAGGGGGGACGGGTACCTTGACGGGAGGTGCGTTGGACTACTGAGCATGTCAGACTATCAAGGGACAGCTGTATATAATTTATTATCAAATTATTAACAAGAATTTAATAAATTCTTGTTAATAATTTTATAATAAACATTTTTAAGCTAACTTTTTACTCTATCAGCCTCAACTTGAGTGCTAATGTGCAATTACAGTATTATCAGTCATTTAACCAGAACTTCAAACATTAAATGTTAATAATTTTACTTAGTGTTTTGCTCTTATTACAAAAGTTTAAATTGCTAGAATTTTTACTTCAGTTAAGCTATTTGTTTTGCTACATTGCTCTATACACTAGCTATTTTTTAAAGATGCTACTACAAGAAACAGATGTGTAACAAGGAGGCAGGTATGCAACACTGGTTGAATTACTGTTAATTAATAATTAATAAATGTTCAAGTTATACAATTTTGATTGGTTTAAATTGTCCATTTAATGTCACATTCAATAAATTAGAATATCCATTAATTGCATTCTTATTTTCTTACTCTTTTAATGTTATCAGTAACAGATAAGTTCAAAGTGATTCAAAGAATTTTACTGATGAACAAAAAACACAATAAAATAAAGCTTAGTAATATTTAAATTATGTTTAAATACATATGATGATTTTTAAAATACATATTAAAAATATTTCAGTTATTCTATAATTTTTTTCTATTAAAATATAAAACTAAATAGTTTTTGATATTAATATTTTTATGTAAAATTTACAACAGGTTTTATTAAAATTGAGAAAATTATTATTTGTTTTTTTGTCAAATTCATTAAGCAGTAATTACAGATATTTATTTAAAATGAATTTAAAAAATTGTATTACAATTTTATTTTATAACAGTTGGTATTGAGAGAAAATGATTTAGTATGTCTTCCTAAAGAAGTTGGAGAGTTAACTCGTCTTCGAGAATTACACATTCAGTCAAANACAGATGAAATGTGTGTCATTGTGTAAGAATTGGATGGGGAGATTCACATCGCAACATGCTTATGTGCAAGCAGACACATAAGGGGGGACGGGTACCTTGACGGGAGGTGCGTTGGACTACTGAGCATGTCAGACTATCAAGGGACAGCTGTATATAATTTATTATCAAATTATTAACAAGAATTTAATAAATTCTTGTTAATAATTTTATAATAAACATTTTTAAGCTAACTTTTTACTCTATCAGCCTCAACTTGAGTGCTAATGTGCAATTACAGTATTATCAGTCATTTAACCAGAACTTCAAACATTAAATGTTAATAATTTTACTTAGTGTTTTGCTCTTATTACAAAAGTTTAAATTGCTAGAATTTTTACTTCAGTTAAGCTATTTGTTTTGCTACATTGCTCTATACACTAGCTATTTTTTAAAGATGCTACTACAAGAAACAGATGTGTAACAAGGAGGCAGGTATGCAACACTGGTTGAATTACTGTTAATTAATAATTAATAAATGTTCAAGTTATACAATTTTGATTGGTTTAAATTGTCCATTTAATGTCACATTCAATAAATTAGAATATCCATTAATTGCATTCTTATTTTCTTACTCTTTTAATGTTATCAGTAACAGATAAGTTCAAAGTGATTCAAAGAATTTTACTGATGAACAAAAAACACAATAAAATAAAGCTTAGTAATATTTAAATTATGTTTAAATACATATGATGATTTTTAAAATACATATTAAAAATATTTCAGTTATTCTATAATTTTTTTCTATTAAAATATAAAACTAAATAGTTTTTGATATTAATATTTTTATGTAAAATTTACAACAGGTTTTATTAAAATTGAGAAAATTATTATTTGCTTTTTGTCAAATTCATTAAGCAGTAATTACAGATATTTATTTAAAATGAATTTAAAAAATTGTATTACAATTTTATTTTATAACAGTTGGTATTGAGAGAAAATGATTTAGTATGTCTTCCTAAAGAAGTTGGAGAGTTAACTCGTCTTCGAGAATTACACATTCAGTCAAATCGCTTAACTGTACTTCCACCAGAATTAGGTAAGTGCTTCAATTTTTGAAACAGTCCTGATTCCCAGTAATTGTATTTAAATGTAATATAGTCTATGCATAGTGTTTTGTTTTTTAAATTAAGTATTTTGAATTTTTTTTAGATTATTCCATTTGTTTTTGTTTTTTTAATTTTTAACCTGTAAACAGAAACATAGGCCTCTACTACATAATTGGAAACATTGTTCTAGGAGACTTTGTATTTTTGTAGACTTCATATTCAGGATATTTGTTACTGTACAAGAGTTTTTGATGTTTTCTGGGCAATAAAAGAGCAAAATTATGATTATTGAAAACTAATTATCTAGTAGAAAAACTAGAGAAATTTATAAATAAATTATTATTTTTATTTGATTTTTTTATTTGTTATTGCATATATAATACAAACTTTTTTGCAGTACTTCAGGCAAATTGGTGTTATATTTGACAGAAGTTAGTTGGAAATACTTGTAGGAAGTTACATTGTTACATTTTTCAGTTCTTGGAGGATGGACAATTTGAAGATCCTCTTCTCAAGTTTCTCAATTGAAACTTGATCATCTGCTGCAGCAGTATTTTCGTATTTTGTATTGCCTGCTGTATTAATGCTTCATATCTCTAGGTTCATTAGGAATACTGAGCTGTCTTTAGAGATGTAGCTTCAACAGTGAGCCAAGCTTTTAACAAAATGGAATGTGTTGATGACTGGATTTTGCTTAAATTAAGCTTTTGATGATATACCAGTATTTGTTCATGGAATATCCATAATAAAGTGTCCTAAAATGAATAAATAGCTAATGAAACAACAAAAGTAGCAATTGAAAGCTATGAAAAGCACTTAATATGAAACATCCTATCTTAATTTTGCATTCAATACGTAATGCAAAACACCTACAATAAGACCTACACATTTTTAAAAAGCTCTACATATCTTGAAATAAACAGTCACACATGCATAGTGTAGGCAAGTGGCTAAGGTATTATGGAGAAGCAAGACAAAGCTTAAACAATGTTACTACACTGTAGCATGATGTAACAATAATCATCTCATAGACTTTGTTTAGAGATTAAGAATTATTTACTAAATTTATGATGATAATATAAATCTAAATAGAAAAATTGTTCCTACAAACTTTGAATGCTGATAAATATATATCAATCAGATAAAAAGTTTTAAATAAACTAATTTCAAAGTAAGTCTTATTAAATTTATAATAATATGCCAGCATATATGCAAATAATGACATTAGTTTTATTATTGTATGGTAGAGATGAATGAAAAGCAAAAGTATGAAATAAAATATCTTTATTAATTAGTAATGATTAATTATAAATAGTTGTGATATAGTCATAAAATAATGAATTCATATTAAAAAATCAAATTATGTGAAGAGTACAGCAAAGTAATTGATGCATAGCAAAGATACAAGTACTGTATAATACATGATAAACATATAAAGAATAGTTAAGTAATGAAGAGGCTAAATAAAATTATTATTATTATTATTATTTGTATATTCAAGTTCCAATATCAAGCTAAAAGTTCCAAGGTTCTGGGAAGAAAAAATTTGGTTATCACTATTCCCTTTATCTTCCCACCCCTTTGACCTTTAATCACCAAAATTTAATAGCGTCAATCTCCCTAATAAACAAACCTCCCTGCAAAATTTCAGAAATTTTTGACAAAAAGCACAGGAATTATTAAGCCTCAAAAAGGATGAACAAAATTGTGCCACCCACCCTGACACATCCATACATACAGAAATTACCCCCAGATATTTTTGCATTTCTCAATGTTTCAAGGTTCTGAGTCCAAAATGTAAAAAATCTTGGGTCATTTTTTGATTGATTGCCATACTTTTCTAGCTCTGTTATATAACAGAGCTGGGAAAGTAAAACTTGATATCAAATTTACAAAACTAGCATTAAAATTATGAAAAATATTTGTATAAAATACAGTATATCAGAATTCATTTTAAATATTTATATTGTACACATTTCTAATAATAAATCTTAATATTTATAAAACTCAAGTTTCAGAAAACTTTTTATTTTTCAAGGAAACCTAGATCTTTTAGGCCATCACTGTGTAGTGAGGATGGACAATAATCCTTGGGTTCCTCCTATAGCAGATCAGTTACAATTAGGTGTATCTCATGTTATTGAATATATAAGATCAGAAACATATAAGTAGTAAGTGTATATTACTAATTAATTAATTTATTAACTTTGTTTATCATAATACTAAAAAATTTATCTATTTTTCAGTCTGTTTGGTCGTCATGCTCAAGCTGGATCTCCTCCACCTCCAAAAACTAATGACAAATCTAAAAAAGTTAGTCGAAAAAGAGATCTTCCAAATTGAGATTTTCATCAACTGAGATTTGTTAATTCATCAAAAAAGAAGTGCCTAAACTTGAGAATTATATATAAAAACTCTTTAATAGATTTCTCTGGTATATTATGAAACATTAAGTCATATTCTAAGGAGCTTAATATTTAACATAAAATATATATTTTATTATTTAACAGTATATATATTATTAAAATTAAATAACCAATTTCTGGATTATATCAAGATTTTCCAATAGAAGATGTAGGATTTTAATTATCTGAAATGAAATGTGAAGCTTAATTACTACTATGTTTTGTAATTTAATTATTGGATTTGGACTAATTTCTTATATTGAATAAGATAATTATTTAAGTAAAACCAAATCCAAAATATAATTTTGGTAATTTTATAGCTGAAAAGTTGAAAGTGTTGTTGTCATTTTGGATGATCGCATTTATTATGAAATATGAAAATTGTCAAATATTTGTAAGATTTGAAATCACCAATATACTTTTTCTTTGTTCCTCTACACTCACTCTAGTGGTTGAATTTCCTTTCTTATTTTGCCATACTTGTTGTGTCACGCACTCCCCATAATGCTTTGTCAATTCTCGTCACCACTAACCTAAGGACAACTTCCACCCAATGCAAAAAGTTCTCCCCAAAGGCCTGTTCCAATCTGAGTTCACATATAATTTAAGGTAAAATGGAAATGACAGTGCTTTGACCTGACATATTCATTTTCTCTCAGCATATGCAAATGGTAGAGAATATTGGTAAAGTTGACTATCTTGTTGATTTTTGTATATAAAAGATTTATTTGTTACAATAATGTGTATTATAATATATATTGTTGAAGAAATATGAAATTAATATAATTTGCCATTTAATTCAATAAATTCAGGTTAAAACAAGTAATCAAAGAATAAACATGTTGCACTTGGTATCATTTAATGTTAATTTATTAGTCAAATTCTTTCATATTGATTTACTGGATAATTTTAAAAATCACTATTATTATGTAGTGTAGTTAATGCTGTTATTGTATAAACCACAGTTGTTTTATATTGTGCTGTATTAGGGAAAAGAAAGCATTGAGAAATATGTGTATATATTAGCATTTTAATTCTTATCTTTTTAAAATTTAAGTATTATTTCTTTTGATAGTGGGGTAAGGCCTCTAAAACACACTGTGTATCTTGGTGGAAAGAGCAGGTGGAATGACCCTTTGTTCAGGTACTTTGAATACTTTGAAAGTAGCACTTTCAGATAACCAAAGCTATCCGAAAGTAGCACTTTCAGATAGCTTTGTCGCCAGGAATAAAAACAAATACCCTTAGGGTATTTGTTTTTATTCCTGGCGACAAAAGCTGCTAAGAAAATCTCATATTCTGATCACTATGATTAGAGATAAAAATTTGTTAAGAAAATTTCCAGCACACTTTGGCATTGAAATAAAAAAAGTAGTAAATAAAACACTATTCAAGAACACGATACAAAATCACAAATCACCAAAAAAGGAATTATTAAACACAATAATTGAATATGTCACTTTTTGCAAAGTACTTAACCAAGAAAAGAAAAATCATCGTCAAATGCATTTCTTGAATAAGCTACAATTCTATCATTTTCTACAAATATCATGTTACTTAATGTCATAGCTACAAAATTCTTTGAAAATACTCATTCCAAAAGAATGAGTGTTTTCAAAGTCTTTTATATTTCAACTAAGACCAATTAGAAGATAATCTTTTACATTACATTCATTTGATCCAAAACTTCAACATAAGGAACCTCTTTATCTTTGCCACCTTGAATTATTTCTAACAAGGCATTGTGTGCAGATTCCTTTGTTGAGTTACAGTCACCTCGTTCGTTCCAGTTGAACTTGAATTCCCAAATAATGGCAAAACCATTATCTAGCATCCATAGGTCAATCAAGCCAGTTTTTGTCTTATCCTCTTTCTTNACAGATGGCGCTACGAGTACGACGCCATAAGTTTGCTTTTCTGTGAAAATGAACTAAAGCGGATCATCATCTATCTATTTATATAAATAAAAATGTAATGTTCGTTTGTTCCTACCGATTCCTTTGAAATTTTCACACATCGCTGCATTCGAATACGCACGTTTTTATATAACGTACGTGTCGAAATTCCCCCCACTGAAGGGAGATGGTTAGGATTAATTGAGGCTTACCGTCAGTGGCGTACCGTGGGTGTCAGCCGCCCGGGATGGAGGAAAATTTCGGCCCCCCTTATTTAGGTATTTCAATTTAAAAGACCAAAATTCAGTTTTGTCACAGAACAAGCAATGAAAAAATCGGTGGTAGTGCAGCGACCTGTTTAAAATAGTTCTATTGGATATTAGTGGTGTATATGAACGCGAATGAATCGTACAAGAAAAGGAAAAAAAAAGGTCAACAGGTTTCGCAAGAATTCCTCGGACGAAAAAGTTACTAGTTCACCCGGCGAGCCGATTCTCGGACTGTCCGGACGATAGCACTATCGCAGGCGCGATGCAAATATAAATTAGGATGTTTCAAATTTTTACAAGATATTATTATTATTTATTGTGAAATTTTGCCGCCCCCACTACGGTACGCCACTGCTTACCGTAAAGAACTTGGCTTCTATTATACTATTTTAGATGCGGTTTTTTGCGTTTTAATAGGGTACATCAACAGAACGTACACTAAGAAGGGATTGTTCGATATTCCTCCGCGGGGGAGAGGGACAGAATTAAGGCTTACCTTGAAGAACTTGGCTTCTATTATATTATTTTAGATGCGGGTTTTTGCGTTTTTTGATTGCGTTTTAATAGGGTACGTCAAGAGAATGTACACTAAGAAGAAATTTTCGAAAAATTCCCCCCCACGGGGGAAGTGTTATACATTTATAATAGATACATTTTGAGCCACAACACGTGGCGGTGTCTGCTAGTATTAAATAAAATGGATATCCCACATTTTTTTGACATTTTTGGGTTCAGATAGTCTCAAAATGTGGAGATTTGCAGAAAACCTGGAGGATCAAGTTTGATACAATTCTCTTATGTATATACATAACTGGGAAACTAAAAGGCAACAAATCTTTCTTCTTTATATACTGTTTTTATATTACTATTATCAGATATAAACTTTATGAAATCAAGATACTGTATTTAGAATTATTTATAAATAATAGTTTCTATTGTAATAACAGTANATAACCAAAGCTATCCGAAAGTAGCACTTTCAGATAGCTTTGTCGCCAGGAATAAAAACAAATACCCTTAGGGTATTTGTTTTTATTCCTGGCGACAAAAGCTGCTAAGAAAATCTCATATTCTGATCACTATGATTAGAGATAAAAATTTGTTAAGAAAATTTCCAGCACACTTTGGCATTGAAATAAAAAAAGTAGTAAATAAAACACTATTCAAGAACACGATACAAAATCACAAATCACCAAAAAAGGAATTATTAAACACAATAATTGAATATGTCACTTTTTGCAAAGTACTTAACCAAGAAAAGAAAAATCATCGTCAAATGCATTTCTTGAATAAGCTACAATTCTATCATTTTCTACAAATATCATGTTACTTAATGTCATAGCTACAAAATTCTTTGAAAATACTCATTCCAAAAGAATGAGTGTTTTCAAAGTCTTTTATATTTCAACTAAGACCAATTAGAAGATAATCTTTTACATTACATTCATTTGATCCAAAACTTCAACATAAGGAACCTCTTTATCTTTGCCACCTTGAATTATTTCTAACAAGGCATTGTGTGCAGATTCCTTTGTTGAGTTACAGTCACCTCGTTCGTTCCAGTTGAACTTGAATTCCCAAATAATGGCAAAACCATTATCTAGCATCCATAGGTCAATCAAGCCAGTTTTTGTCTTATCCTCTTTCTTAACAGTAACAGGTTTCTCGGGCCGGCATACTTTAAAGCCTGCTTTGAGCACTGTGGTGTACATCACACACTGTATTGTACTGTACATTCAACTATTTCCTGTCCTTTGAGATTCAAAAAAAATATTTTCAAATGCTTGTGGAAATCTTGTAAGACTTTGATAATCTTCTCAGCAGACTTCATTTGAAAAAATTTGGCACATTTCTTCATTGTCAAATTACCAATTCCACAAATTTCTACAGTGAAATTGGTGAACATTTTCTGAAACGCAATGAAAACTTCCAGATTGGGAACTTTCATGAAAATTCCTTTGCCTTGACAATGGACTCTTTCTTTGGCCATCAACCTCTCGGATAAGAGAGAGACATCCTTGATCCATGATAAATGAGAAAAGAATCTCATCATCAATCAGGTTACCACTAAGGAAGTTAGAGAAAGTTGATGCTAACAGCCTTGCTAAGGGTTTCAAAGGGATGGTGCCCCCTCCTGTTACCTTAATCATTTGTTCTAAAACATTACTGTTTCTAAGAACTTTTCCCAGATTATGCTAGAATGTGCCCAAAAATTGATCTTCTCGATCTCCGAAGCACCCAATTTCAAACGAAGTCTAACATAATGCAGAACAGACCATAAACAGCACAGAGTGTCAGATCTATAATAGTATCCATTGTAGAGACCCAATACCTCTCGTCAAACAGAAGCTTGTTTCTCTTTCTGCTCAGGGAACACACTTTCAAGAAGCTTAATAATCTTAATTTCCAAGACCATAAAATTCAACAAACCGATCATTATCATCTAGTAGCCATTTATAAAATGATGTTAAGATGCTCGGAAATACCAATGCTTTCCAAATAAGACACACCGGTAATCAGTGATCCTAAGAGGTCAACTGCACCAAGCAGGGACATTACTTCATTGCTGATCTCCTTTACTTGCTTTCCACTTTTACCAGCCAACAAGGCATTCACAGCAGGAGCATCAAATTCATCAACCAACAGGTACACTTTTATGCCATGGTGATTATGTAAATACTCTATCAAATTTTGCAACCCAACTATCACATTCCTCTGTTGGTAAGTATCACCATACCATGCTTCAAAATTTTGTTGTTCTGCCTTGACCTTTGATGGAGAGCCAGCAAATTGATTAGAATTCATCAGGTATGAAAATTCAACATAAGCCTCATATATGAAGTCTTTTAGATCACATTTTACAGTTTCAGTGGAAGTACTGTACAATCGAGGTTCTTAAAGTATAGATGTACAGTGGGGTGTCGTCCAAAATATTCTTTGACGAGGTCCATATGGTTCAGGATATGATATGTGAAAATGCTTGATAATTGTCAGATCCTTCTAGTTCCTTCAAATCCTTTGGTGTGCAAGAGATGCCTCTACCTTGTTCAATTTCAAAGCATTTGATCATATCTATGTTCAGAGATTTGCTGAAACATTTAGGTGCAAAAATGATCACATGTCACTCTTGGGTTTTTGACAGCAACTCTTTGATAAGCAAGGTTTTATCAACAAATCCAGTCCACATGACAGCTTCCTTGAAGTTATCCACAGTTGCATCAAAAATCTTTCCTTTCACAGAAACAATGCAAGCTCTGTCACTTCTTTCTGTTGCTTCCTGAGCTTCAGTATTTGGCACATGTTTCGGCATTTCTTGAGTGTTAACTGAACTAGATGTGCAGGCTACACTAGGATCCATATTCAGTCGTTTATTCTGTGACATTTGGTTTTACTGTTTGACATCTGGAAATTCTTTTGTTTTCTGGGGTATGAAATTATCTTCAAACATGTACACGCATCTTGTCAAATTTAAGTATTATATTAATTTTGCTTTCATGAATAATGAAATAATTTTCTGCCATCATTGACAGAAAAAGACAGATTAATTTCCATTTTCTATTGTTAGTCAAGTTCATGATCACTGCCACAATATGGAAATTATTAGTTTTGTTGTTGAAGTATTTTAAGATATATGAAACAAATGAAGATATTTTTATATCTAGTCTGAAAGTAGGAAAAAGCAGGAAGATTATAACTATTTTCAGTCTTATTTAGTAAAAGATATTCATTTAATTGTTAATTATTGAACTATGATGAACTGGCTTAAAACTTTCTAAGAAGGTTTTTATTTTACTATTTTTTAGTTTTAATGATTTTAAGTGAAGTTATGATGTAAATAATAACATATTTTATTTGTGAATAACTGTTAAGTTCTTGTAAGTGCCATTAATAAATAGCATTGAATCTCTCAGAAGTGCCATCCAAAAAATTATATTTTTTGAACTTATTTACTATAAATATTTCATAAAGTTGTAAAACTTATTTACAATTAAAGATATTTCATCAAGTTTAAAAAATTTTGGAAAATAATAATGAAAACTGGCAGCTTTCACATATGCATAACAATAAATATTTTTTGAAAGGAAATATTTTATGATTATGATAGAACGAGGTTTTTCAATAGCACAAGTTAATGTGTTGTTCTAGAAATGTAATTCAATAACTCTTATCTTGTTGATTCTATAATAAAATAATTATTATAAACTGCTTTGAGCACTGTGGTGTACATCACACACTGTATTGTACTGTACATTCAACTATTTCCTGTCCTTTGAGATTCAAAAAAAATATTTTCAAATGCTTGTGGAAATCTTGTAAGACTTTGATAATCTTCTCAGCAGACTTCATTTGAAAAAATTTGGCACATTTCTTCATTGTCAAATTACCAATTCCACAAATTTCTACAGTGAAATTGGTGAACATTTTCTGAAACGCAATGAAAACTTCCAGATTGGGAACTTTCATGAAAATTCCTTTGCCTTGACANGTATATAATAAAATAATCAAAAAAATTTTGATATTGTTAGTGCATTAGGAGAGCTGCATATTTTAATCATTAGTTAAAAATTTCAGATAATTGAAATCCTGCTTAAATTATTATTATGAATAAATAGAATTTCATTAAATCATGTAATTTAACTATGTATGAGAATATCTAATTATTCATATAAATCTGCTCATTTTAAAAGTTAAGATTTTACAAATTTTGTTTGTGTTGTTTATATTATCGTGTAATATAATATCTGTTTTTTTTAAATATAAATTATTAATATAAATTGTTAACACATGAAAATATAGATATTAAAATGTAGAATGTACATTTCTTCCAAATATCAAAAATATTTTGTATAAATAACTGTTTATGAATTGTATATGATTAAAAGAGAACTTTTTCTTGCTGAAAAGCTTAATATTGTGCATTCATAGATTCATTGATGATATACTTCTTGACAACAAAATAAAAATATGTGAATGTGAATATAGAACTTTTTAACAAGAAGTATTTTATTTATAATAAGGCAGTTACAAAATTAGCATTTTAAAAAGTATTATCAATAATCTTAATAATAATAATAATAAATTTAGCATCAAATAGAAATTTGTGATTATACTGAAAATATCTATGTAAAAATTATCATTAAAAACTTTGATAACAATTATTATGATCGTTTAATTAGTTAGACTTTCTTCATTATTGTTTTGCTTATAAATTTGTTTTAATGTAAAATTTAGTTTATTGATGTCTTTAGAACCATTAATCTTGTATTACTGCCATTTCAAATATATTCAAAAGTTTCATATGTTATGTCAATATAAGGCATATCAATAATCAGAAAATCAAAATATTTTCTATATATATGTTTTTATCTCTATTAATATTTTTATGCACTTTTTTACAAAGCAGTGTTTAATAAATATAAAATATATTTCTTTAAATAGATATTTTAAATTTTAAATTTATAATCTTAGAATAAATTACGATTTTGAGAATAAATGTATACAAGGTAACGTTTGATTCTAATAATTGTTACTTAGATGTTTCATATTTATTTATTTTCAAATTATAACATTCTTAATTCTGAGTTAAACCAGGTATGTCTTTTCATTCCATTTTTCTTTCTTGGAAAATATCAATTTTTTTGGTGAAATATTTAAAATATGGATTTGTTTTTATTACTTTTAAAGATGTCTGGTGTATTCAGTTTATTCTACTAAAAAAATATATATATAATGCTTTTTCTATAAAAATGATTTTAGTTTTTCTGGATTTGAAAATATGTTTTGGCACATTTGCCATTTTAATATTGTTAAACTCCATTGTTCTAAAAAAATTGGTGCTGTATATAAATATACTATTAAATATATTATATTTTTTTAAATTCAATTAAAAACTTTGTGATTACCTATTGTAAATACAGCATAGCAAATTAAAAATTACAAAACAAAAATTGGATAAAGTAGCTCATTTTATTTTGTATTCAAATAGTGGAATGAATTCTCATCTGGATATATTGTAAAATCTTGAATATCACAAAAATTTCTTTTTGTGTGTACAATTTTTAGAAAAATAAATTCTATAATTTTTATTGTGCTATATTTCAAATAAATCTTTAACTAAAAAACTCTTATACATATCTTCATACAAATAATTATTGTAAGAACGCCGATTGGGGGGGATTTTTATTCCCTACCGTCGGGATGGTCTAAGGTCTTAGCGTATGTGGGTGGCGGTTTGTAAAGGCAGCAAAGACAAGTGTTTACAAAGGTAAACCGTTTATTTCGGACGAATATGCTTACACAATTTTCAGGCTTCGGTGCTGGTCTTGCGTTGTTGAGAATTTCGGTGGTGATCCGGTGCGTCGTCGTAGGGGCCCCTGGACAGTGTTGAGAAAAAAAAAGTTCGATGTCTCGAAAGTCGATGCACGAAAGATGAAGATACACGAATACAACAGAAGTATAGGTGGAAGTCTTGGTGGAAGTAGAAATCAAGTAAAAAAGTCCCGCTGTCCTTGAATTTTGCGTTTTTATCGGATTTTTGCGATCGACTCCTTGTCAATTGGATAGATCTTACATCACTGTTTTCCAATTGGTCATCCAGGTGTAAATGGAGCTTCGTTAAGTTCGTGGAAAAGGTCGGCTGGAGATGGTTTATCCGACACCATCTTTTCGAATCTGATCGCGTTTAATTGTTGACTATGACACCTTCGCTCATCTAGACATTTTTTTTT